TGTCTGTTGTTTGCGGCAAGCGGCGCGGGGTCTGCTCCTCCGGGGGGCGAGGAAGGGGGTGAGGAGGGAGGAGGGGGAGCTGAGCCCGGAGTGCAGCCTTGCAGCCATGGGTTGGTCTTATTTTGCAGAAGTGGGTGTGCCAGGGAGACAGCTCAACAGGTCTCGACACATTTCTCTGAAAACTATACTTTGCAAAGGAGAATTTATTGTAATCCGGCAGTTTTAAGTAGTCGCAGCTTTTTCCTCGTTTGGGTAGACTCTTGCCTCTGATTTTTGACACGTTTCCTACGCTGGATGGTTCGCTGCTTTTTTTGACGTTGGAGAAATTGTCAAATGGAATAACTACTTTTTTCCTCCCCTTCGTGCTTAAAAAAAAAAAAAAAGAAAGAAAAAAGGCAAAACCGGAGGTAGACAGATATTATTTTTTTCCAGTCACTGTTGCGGTGTCCACCTTAAACAGCCCAGCAATATTTCAGTGCTGTTTGCAATCCGTGAGTTTTCGGGGGGCTGCCCCATTCCCGTTTTGTGCCGCGTGCCGTGGTCCCGGCGGGCAGGCGGCTGGCGGGAGCGCGGCTCCCCGGGCATGACCCAGGAGACTTCGGCGCCTCGGCCAGCATGGGTAAGGGACCCTCTGCTCCGGCACACGGAAAAGCTGTACGAAGTGGTGTCAGAGGACCAAGAAGGGTTTTCGCTTTGAGCTTCTCCTGCTCGGGACGCTTTCACTTAGGCCAAAGCTTAAAATTTGTACACGTGGGGACTTTTTGTTGATCACAGTCTTAACTTTGGCATACAGAAAGCAGCAGCGTTCGTCGGCAGTCTGGAGAAAATGGGCGGCAGAGCTGGCAGGTTTAGAATTAAGATGACCGTAAACTTGTAAGCACTCTCGGATCTCTCTGCTTAATGGATAATTCCGAGGCCAGGCTTTAACTTGGGCATTGCCTCCTCTTACGGATTGGGGGGGAGTGCGAGCTGATCGCTGTTGGCTGTTTGCTGTTAGTGTTAGGCCGTAGACAAACAGTATAGAAAGTTTGCTGGAGAATTTACAGTTATTCTCCAAATATTTATGCTCTGCGCTGAAAATAAATGTAGTAAATACAGATGAACCTGAGGAGATTTGTTTTCAGTGTTAGATGTGTTTGGAGAACAGCCGTGAGCTGTTAAAGTGTTGGAAGCTAATAAAAATTATACTTTATTTTTAGTTAGCTTTTATTTATAAATTTGAGATTTATTTAAAGAATTGAGTTTATTTCAAGATTCACAAGTTGTACTTTAAGCTGAACCTATGCAAAGATAGCAAACTGTGTTTTGTGGTGGAGAGGTTGTGTAGCTCCTGGACAATAACAAGCCACTTAGATTCTTTTTTTTATTATCCCCCCCCCGGCTGGTAAGTACCGCATTTGAGAGCTGGCTCGGGAGGTTTCAGTACCTGTTGTGGGTGATGCATCTGAACCTGCAGGGAGAGAGGGAACTGACTCGGGAAAGGTGGTGAATGCCCTTCTCCCCTGCCCTGCCCAAGATGTAATTAAATACCAGGGAAAGTTACCTTCCAAGATTTGTAAATCGGGTACTTTAACAATTCTTACTTGCCAGGATGGGTAACAGAGCTAGAGAGTGTGTTCAGAAAGATGTCTTATGCTGTAGCCTGATTCTGAGTTGCATGCAGGCAGACTTACCACTTCATCCAGGTTTAGCAAAGCTTTAAAAAATATACTACCTTGTTACCAGTCAGGAAGAAAACAAAACAAACCAAAAAGAAACAAACAAAAAAACAAAACCATAAACCAGTGGATTTGAGAAAGATGTGGTACATGTCAGTTCATAGCTTGGTTTGCTGTGCTTTCATTCTCAGAGTAGCTAAACCAGGTTCGCTGGGCTAATGATTTAGACTTTTTTTTTTAAGCTGTTATTAAAATATCCTTGCTGTGCTAACTTTGAATGCTTCTGATCTTTTTATAGCTAATGTTAAAGTAATGGATTCCAAAGAATTGCTGAACTCGTCGGATCAAGACGAAACAAGGAAAAATGCACTCATCAGTACCAAAGGAGGGATCGTGATGGACTTTCACCCACCCTTCAGGGGTGGAGCTACTCTACAAGCCCCTGTGTCTACATCTCCTCTCCCTGTGTCTTCTCAGTCAGATTCCAATCAGCAACCTGCTTTGGCTGACTTTTCAAAAGGATTAGTAAACAATGTGCCTCAGCCAGACCTTTCCAAGGCAGTATCGCTTTCGATGGGACTGTACATGGGTGAAACAGACGCAAAAGTGATGGGAAACGACCTTGGATTTTCGCAGCAGGGCCAAATCGGCATCTCTTCTGGAGAAACGGACTTCAGGCTCCTGGAAGAAAGTATTGCGAGCTTGAACAAGTCCTCGAGCCTGGCCGAGGACGCAAAGGGAGCAATATCTTCTGAGGTGCCACTTGAGCCGGATTTCCCAGGCATGGCTGGCCGCAAGGTCCCTTTAGAGTCAGGAACTGCAGTCCAGAGCCAGGTTGGCTCGAATGGTGGCAACTTGAAATTATTCTCTGAAGACCAAAGCACCCTGGATATTCTCCAGGATTTAGAATTGCCGCCGGTATCGCCTGGTAAAGAGCCCAATGGGAGCCCGTGGAGGCTTGACCCATTGCTAGATGACAGTGGCTTGCTGTCCCCTATATCTGCAGATGATGCATTTCTCCTGGAAGGAAATCTCAGTGAAGACTGCAAGCCTCCTGTTTTATCTGACACTAAACCTAAAATTAATGACCGTGGTGACCTTTTACCCAGTTCCAAAATGCCAATGCCTCAAGTGAAAACAGAAAAGGAAGACTTCATTGAACTCTGTACTCCTGGCATAAAGCAAGAAAACATGGGCCCAATTTATTGTCAGGCAAACTTCTCTGGGTCTAATCTGCTGGGTACTAAAGTCTCTGCCATATCTATCCATGGTGTCAGTACCTCTGGGGGACAAATGTATCACTATGATTTAAATACTGCATCGCTCTCTCAGCAGCAGGATCAGAAACCAATTTTTAATATCATTCCATCTCTTCCTGCCGGTTCAGAAAATTGGAATAGGTGCCAGGGATCAGGGGATGAGACGTTAGCTCCTTTGGGAACACTCAGTCTTTCTGGCAGACCTGCTTTCTCTAATGGCTATTCAAGGTAATTAGTTTTTGTTGCTCTTTATTAAAATACTACAAGTATGTTTAGCACAACTGCATGCATGCTGGTTTGTGGTTTATTTTTTTTTTCCTTTCGGTCATCCCTTTTTCATTTGCTATGTATGGCTGGCTGATCAGACATCACTGGTGTATATTTATTCCATAGTAGGATAGTAGCTTTAACCAGGTACTCAGCTATTGGTATTAAAGGGAAGAAAAGAGGAGGGGAGCTGGTATGCTTTAAAAAATAAATAAATAATTGTTAAAAAATTCTAAGATACAACCTAGAGGGAAAGTTGAGTATGTCGTGGTAGAAGGATCCATACGCAAGGCAGTATAGAAGGAAGTATTTAAGTGTATACAAAAGCTACTTCATTCTCAAGGGTTAGAGGATCAATTGCTGTGTGTTGTTGGTTGTTTTGTTTTTGTTTTTTCTCTTCCTAGTGTTACTTAAATGTTATGCACAAAAATAACTTGGTTGCTGGGTAAATTTCTAGAATTACATTTAAGCTGAACTAGAGTTTTAGCTTTGCTTGGTATTGCATTTACCTTACATGGACAAGAAGATGCCGAGTAGGAAATATTCAGTGGTTTGTTTAATAACTGCATTTAAAGAGATAAAAATATTTGCAGTAAGATTTAAACGTACCTGGAATTTAACTCTTAAATGGAACTGGAGGAGGGCTTGCTTATAGGTGGGTTTTTGAGAGCAGGGTATTTTAGGGGAGCTGGTTAGTACGTATTTCAAGTGACTTTGTAGTAGTGTTTTCTACAAATAATTCAATAGTGCAGATATTCAAGTAAAATACTTTTCCTCTGCCCTTCAAGAGCAAGCGCGACGGTGGCAGCTTTCTCAATGGGTAGCTGTGTACGTCTCCTCGCAGCCGGGGATGGGTTCCGATTTCAGTAGGAACACCTAGTTGTATGTTTTCCTCAGCTATTCTTTGTTTAACATATACTTGCACAAGCGCAGTGTTTGGTCTCAATGGAGGAAGATGTTTTTGCTGTGTTTCTGTGGAGTCTTAGAAAATGGCTCTCCAAGTCCATATATGTAAAACCAGTAATTGTAGGCTTTTACTGAAGTATCCGTTTTAACTTTCTTTTTTTATTGCCCCACTGACAATTGATCCCCAGAGTGTTAGCTGCCAGTCGCGGGGCTCTCCCTACGCATTATTTTCTCCATTTTCCCACGGTTGGAATGAGGTGTGTGAGGATTTCTTCTTTCCTTCAGAAAGACAACTTTTAACTTGTTTTCATTCTAGATTTCTTTCATATTTTTTTTATTTTTGTAGGGAAGATGTGTTGTATGTTTTTTGGGTTGTTTTTTTTTTTTTTTTAAGTGTTTAAAGCAATTTGTAATGTAAGGAATCCAGAAAGGAAAATCAGAATTTGTGGATAAATTCCACTTTGCTATATGAATATTGAACATGCCTTATCATTTATTTTGACAGAGAGAAATCATTTGTGCTAACCTTCAGTCCGACTTCCATGTTGTTTTTAGTTTGTTTCATGGGGGTGGGGGGTGGGGTGGGTTTTTTTATTTTGCTCTCGTCATATTTTTAATGGCAATCATAAAATCTGTGTCAAAGCAAGAACTATTTCTGGGTTTGGGAGGTGAATTTCAGTGCCTGTTTAAGTAAGCAGGTTCCTTGTAGATAATGGAAACATCACTCTTGAGAATACTTCTGTAAAGTTCATGCATTGTTTTTATTTTACAGAACTATTTAGGTAGAAGGAAGCTCATTCATAGGTGAATGGTTTACACGTAGATGTTTGTCTGGCTTTTGGGGAATTTTGTAAACACCAATTTTACATACTATGTTTCTGATAATGTTGTGATGAAAAACCCACTCAAGACACTAACGTGTACAGAATACATCTGATCCTAGAGTAAAAAGGACAGCAGTACTAGATGTTATCGTTGCTTTTATCAGGCAATTTTGAGGAGTGTGCTTAGTGTGTTTGTGTTGGAGCTGAGCAGGCAGCGATAGGCAGGCGTGCTGCGGGGAGCTGGCAGAAGCCCTTGGCGCGGAGCTCCTCTCGTAGGCGATGGAGCATCCTCAGCATCGTAGGCAAAAGTCTGCCTCCACCACTGGATAGTGTTAACAACGTTGTGCTGCAAGTGTTTACGTTCTTGCTTCCTGCAAGGTTTCTTATATTTTATTGCTTTCTTTTGCTCTAAGATAATGGATTTTTTTTTTCTTAATTTAAGAAATGCATAAAGAATTTTCAGATGGCTCCTAGTTCAGTTTTGTGTAAAAATGCATTATTTCTAGCCTGCGTGGAAGCTGTTCTTCCCAAAGATTTTTACACACTAAAACTACCAAGTCCAATTCTAAAAACAACATTGTTTGGGTTTGCTCTATTTTTTTTTTCTTCCATAAAATATGGGCGACTCCATCTTTTTAAAATGTTTGAGATACTACTGAACCCTGGGTTTCAAGCAGGAATTCTCTTTCTTCCTGAACCTTGTCAGAAATATTTGGTCTAAACTGGATTAGTTTAAGGTGATGTATTGTGGATTTGTTTGTTTTTCTTACAGAAGACTTAACAAAATTGGCATTTGTTTTGGAAACAAAGGAAGGACTATCTTGCCAGGTTTTGGTAGTCCTTTTTTTTTTTTTTTTTTTTTTTTTTTTTCTCCTTTTAGGTACTGATTGTGTGAGGTGAAGGCTGGGATTTTGAAAATTCAGAATTGCTAGACTTCAATTTCCAATAGGAATTTGTTGGTGTTGGTAGAATTATTTGACTAATTGTAACATATTAATTATATACTAAACATATGGGAAGAAAAGCTGCAGTTTTGTCCTGGTGTTTAGGTAGTATTTAATCTGACTGTTTTAATGGAAGGCATGTAATGTTTCTTTATAGACGAGCAGTCTTGAATTGATGTCATGCAATTTTTGAGTGATTTTGCTTCTAAGGATAGCACAGCGTGCTGTCTTTAACGAGACAAGTGATAATCAGGACTGAGAAAACTAATCAATTTTCCTATGAAGAGTAGGAGGTATTCTGAAGTTAACAAGCAGAATACGAACTTCAGAAATTTGTTCGATGGGAATGAATCGGCAATAGTCAATAAATGTCTGTTTGTATCTCAGGGTTGTAGAAGAGTCCGCCAGTGCTTGTGCGGATGTGTAAAACTTGGAGCTGCAGCTCAGTGTTTCAGCAGATGATACTCAAAATCATCTTGAGCAGCAGCGAAACTCCAGACAACAGGACAGCTTCATTCTGGCGTTGCTTTGGCGAGGTCTCCCACCTGATCGAGCAAGGCGCCGATCGATCACGGTAGAGCAAACTAAGGAGAAGGTGGATAGAATAAGAGAGAGGAAAAAAGTAAGATAACTGAGACAATTTGCCTTAGATTTTCTTCAATAGAAGAGGTGAGACAGCATCTGGAAGAGGAGTAAAACAGGCTGAAAACATGTGGTAAATGCTTCACTGAAGAATTAGAGGGTTTGATGATGTCTGTCTCTGATGGGATATTATTTGTGATTTATTACACAAACGCCAGTGAAAACTGTTGAATTTCAAGGAAATGGTTTTAACAACACACACTCATAGGACTCTTGCGTGGTATATACATTAAATCTCTCGCTCACCGTTTTTATTCCTCTGACTTCCTGGAGATGTGGCTTATTGTGGGGGGAGTGAAGGACAAAGAGAAACAACACAGCGACACAGGGGTTTCTGTGTGCTTTTTCTATTAGCCTACAGCCAGAATTTACAAAAACTGGGCCCCATTGGCAGTGTTGCGGCTTCTCTTATTACATTTGAAATCATTCCTAGGACTTAAGCTTGTGGGGGATAAGGATCATTAAGGAAGTTTAAGAAAGGGCAAGAGCTGAGAGAAGTCATGAAAGAGGAGGAGAGTCTGGAAGGGGGAAAAAGTTTTACTTGTCAGTCGCAGTCCAAAGCCTGCCTTTCAGGAGAAGTTACCTTTCTGCCGTCACTCTTTAACTGGGATTCTTCTTGGACTCAGATGTTTTACTAGAAGGAAGGGGAAAAAAGGGATCATTTGCTAGAAATGGCAAAGGTCAGTTGTCCGTTTGTCTTACTGCATTGTTTTAGCTTGGCTTTTGGCCAAAGTCGGTGGCTTGGCACGGTTGGATGTAGTACTTTAAGTGTTGTCTGACTCAGCAGTATATAATGTGTGGTACATATGGAAATATGTCTTTTTTAATAATTCTATTTTGATATAAAAAACAGACTTGTTATTTGGAGGGAGTGCTCAGGGTTTCAATAGTCTATGTTGTGATTTGTCAGCTTAATGTAATACTGTACTTGGGTTCTGAGTCTTGGAAATACACGACAAAAAAAAATCTAACTTTTGGCAGAAAGGGATGAATCGGGAATGTTCTGCAGAATGTGCTATAAGGCGCCATGAAAAGGTAGCTAGGTAAATGACTGGTCATGTAAGATGTAATCCGCTTTTTCTAGTCTTAGCTGATCCATTCAGCTAGCTGATAGCCGAGTAGGTTTTTGTAAGTCCAACCCAAGTTGTTAATTTCTGCTAATTTATTTTCCCCTACAATGATCTCTACTTTAAACCTAGCTCTAGCTTATAAAACACAAGTTGATTTTTGTTGCCGGTAGCATTTTTTTTTTTATCCATCTCAAGTAATGGTTTAACCTCATTGTACTCTTCTGCTGCTAGTGAAAGCAAAACTATAGTTAAACCAGCTCTACTCACAAGTCTTTTCATAAATGTGAAATATATGTGTTACACATCTCCTACATCATATATTTACTGTCTTAAAGATTACCTTTATACAGTGAGAGCAAATTGTCTTGCACACTTCTTACTCCCTTCTTACTTTGACTGCTTACTTCTTACTGCTCATTCTGGAAATGAACAAGTGGTCACTATTCTATGCATGTATGTAACTGCAAACTGGAATTATTTCTACATATTAAAAGGTTACCAAGGTCTTCTCTCTTCCTAGGTCCCCCTTTATAGCCACCACCTGGCGGGTGGGCCTTTGGGGGCTTCCTCTATTT